AGCCTTCTTGGAACCCTTCCGGGCCTCAGTTTTTCTATCTGTAAGATGGGATTTAACTGGGAGCCGTGAGCCTAGTCCTGGGCTTCCCCCCCTGCCTCTCCCTGATTTCAAGTTTTAGAAAAATCCCACAAGGAAGAAGATTGGAGTTTTTAGAAACCCATAGATCCCCAGTTCCTCAAGGCTTCCTGGAAAGTGTGTCTCGCGTGTTCATTCCCCAGAGTCACTATTTCTTTAATTCCTTCAACAGACATTGATGGGGCACCTACTATGCGCCAGGCCCTGTTGTAGACACTGGAGATGAGGGCCAGCTTCGCAGACCCTCACTCAGAAGGGCCCCAGTTTGGTTTACTGCTCTCTTCTCGCCATCTTGAAACTCTTAATGATTTTTGAACAGGAGGCCCCTGCATTTTCATCTTGCACCAGGCCTTGCAAAATCCGTACCTGGTATCAGCTGCGGATACAGTAGTGACTGAGGTGGACAAAGATCGCGGTGCGGAACTGACAACCTAGGGGGCGGGGTTAGACCAAAGGGAAACAATGTATTCGGAAGGTTCGCAGTGTGGCATCAGCTAGTAAGAACAGGGAGGAAAAAAAAAAACAAAACAAAACTGCTAATAAAGCCTCTTCCGGGGTACTGCCCAGTGCGAACAGTAGGAGAGGAACAGGCCTTGTAGACCGTGGGGGAGGGAAGGTGCTCCAGGCAGAGGGCACTGCGAGCGCCGAGGCCAAAACCAGAAAGGAGGCCACTGTGATGGGTCTGACCAGAGAAAATGGAGGGGAGATGGGCCCAGGAAGTTGCCAGGGGGTACTGTGTGGAGCAGGGGTGGGCAGATTCTCCCTGTGAAGGGCCAGGCTGTGATATTTTTGTCTTCAAGGGCCCTCAGCCCTCAATTCTGCCAATGCAGCTTGAGAGCAGCCATTGGCTGCTCTGAATGGATGGGCCTGGCTCCGCCCCAAGAAAACTTTTATTTATGGACGCGCAATGTGAATTTCATGTCATTGTCACGCATCACTTCACAAGATATTACTCTCCTTTTGATCTTTTTTTCCCCCCAGCCACTTAGAAGTGTAAAAACTATTCTTAGCTCTTGGGCCACAGGAAACTGGGGGAGGGGGGCTGGGATTTGGTCCCGGGGACCAGTTTCTGTAGAACCTCTTGGGCCTTGAGAGCAGTCTGGATTTTACGCCGAGTGAGGTTGTGGAGGCTTTTGAGCAGGAGGAAGATGGGGGCTTTAGGAAGCTGGGAGACAAGGGCAGGGGTTAGGAGACCAGGGAGGAGGTATCCCCAGATGGAGCCTCCAGCGACAGGGCTGGCCCACAGGCAAGATTGGGTACGTTGATCGAGTTTGCAGGGTCGGCTGGTGGGTTGGGTGCGAGAGACAGGAGCCCTCAACACCCACCCCTCCCCAACTGCTTATTACCAAACCCTCCATCTTCCTGCCCCACCTCTCCTTACTCCTGCGCAAAGGTGTCTAAGAAGAATGCCAGACAGATCTTGCCTCCCGAGCCATGTCTGGGGACATCTGTGGTGGTCGCATTGGGGGGTGCTCCTGGCTTCAAGTGGGTGGGGGCCAGGGATGCTGCTCAGCCCCCACGGCACCCATGCCAGCCCCCCAGCAGAGAACGATCTGGCCCTGAAATGTCCGCAGTGCCTGAGTGGAGGAACCCGGCTTTATGCTGTCTGTTGCATTGACCGTCCCATCTAGCGGTTGGGGAATTGAGACCCAGAGAAGGAGCGTGCCTAGGCCAAAGTCACACAGTGTGCAGAACATGACCAAGCTGGACTCAAGCCCCCTCCTCCTGTCTGCAGTCACTGCTGCTAAACTCAGGTCCCAGAAGGCCATCGCTATACTCACCCCTACTCTCCCCTCTCATCCCTGTGTCCTCCCCCCCTCCCCCCCTCTGCTGGCCCCTTTGTGAATTTGCAGCCACATCAACATGGTGGGCCAGTTTGCAACCTTTAGTGGCTCCCCTGATGTCCCACATTCCTGGTTTCCCCCTCCTCCCAGGGACACCCCTCTTCCTCTGCCCTACCCTTCAGTTATGACCCTCATCCAGCTGGTCCTGGATCAGGGCACAGGTAACTGGGCTGGTTGAGGCGAGCGAGAACTTCACGATTCCTCCTGAACGTGATCTTGTCCTTGCCACCTCCTAACTCGGGGGGATCCTGGCCGTCCTCTAAGTTTCAGCTCAGATGCCCTCTCTTCTAGGAAGCCCTCCCAGACTCCCCAGGGTCAGGAGTCCTCTCTGAGCTCCCAGCTGGCCTGGGCTGCCCCCATCGCAGCCCCAGTCACCCTGGTTCATCAATCCATGGGTGTCCCTGTCTCCCCAGGGACCCCAGTGATAACAGCGGCATCTGTCAGTGCCAGGCCCACTGCAGCACCAGGCATCCCGGTAGGACAAGCAGAGTCAGTAAATGAAATTCACATGGCCCAGAGGGCCTTGTGAGTCATTCATTCACTCAGCAAACGTTTATCAACTGTCCCACCCCACCCCGAGGTGCCAGGTCTGTGCCAGGGAGGCCTCAGCCTGGCCCTGCGGTCAGGGGGCTCCCAGTCTGAGAAAACAACCAGCGAACACAGACCCTACCAGCCCCTTGGGAGGAGCTGTGTCCACTCTACTTTCCAGTGATTTAACTGACCACCTACTATGGCCTGTGTCCCAGGATTCAGCATTAGACATGCACATGGGCGCAAGCACACCTTTGACGAACGAATCCGTGTTTATCGCGCACTTGCTGCCTACCGGGCACCAGTGAGGGCTTTGCACAGAGTACCTCATTAGTCCTCTCGCTAACACCGCGTGTAGTAGCTACTGTTTGTTTTGAACCCCATTTTCCAGATGAGGAAGGCGATGTCCAAAGCAGGTAAGTACCTTGACTGGGTCGCACAGGCGTTAAATGTGAGGGGCCTGGGTGCAGGGCCCTGGATTCAAATTCAAGTTCGTCAGACTGCTGGGTCCCACGGGTGCAAGAGTGAATGAATGATGGCCAGGCAGCAGTGGGAAGCTGCGTCCGCCGAGAGGGCTCAGGCCGGAGTCACCCGCGACCCGCAGCCAGCTCAGACGAGGCGGAGACGACGCAGGCGGATCCCTGGAGATCCAGTGGGAGCCCGCGGGGGCGAGGGAGGCGGGCCTCGTTCGCCGCA